TATATTTAGTGATTAATCCAATAAACCAATTTTTGTAATTTTGATACTATTAGATTTAGAATTATGGTCTTTACAACTTTAGTTAGAGGTTAAAGGTACTTTTATTTAAGAAAATATTTAGTTATTATTATTTAAACTTTAAATTTTTTGGTAAATACAAATGATATAAACTAATAGATATCTAGAGACTTTCCTATTTGTATGACTTCATCTTATAATTCTTATATTTGTATGCTATATTAGGCTTTTTGTTTAATAATAGACTTGTTGAAGCTAATCAAAAAAAAACTAAAAAACAAGTATATAATAATTATTTTTTTTATAACTAGTTTAGTTGTTTTTTTGTTGTTATTATCATATCTGATTTACACTTCTAAGTTTGGTTTGTTCTCTTTATTATAAACTTTTTATATTTCTTTTTTTGTATATTTAATCTATGATTTTATATGTATGTTATATTGTTTTAAATAAAAAATAGAGTTTATAGTAAAAAAAAAAAAATATCTATTTTTTCAATCTGGTTACTTAAATTTTACTATAAAATTAAAATTATTAGTTACAATTTATTATTTTTGACTTAATTTATTTATATAAATTTTTATATAAAATGCAATTATTTTGGTAAACTATGCAAAACTAATGAATACTTGATTATATTGCAGCCAGTATTGTCAAATGTCTTATATATTAGTAATTTTCATATCTATTTATTATATTATTTAATACATCGAGTAATAAATTATATAATAAAAAGAGGTAACAATTATCACATTTAACAATATTAATTGCAATATATTAATAATGACACAAATTTTTAAGAGCTTATTCGATAAATTAAATTAAATCTACTTTAGAATATTTCATAAAGCAATGTATATTTATGCTAAAGTTTATATTTACTAATTAAAAAAATGAACAATCTTACATTTTACATTTCAGATTTAGAATTGTCTATATAGAAAAAAAAATAAAAATGCATCAAGTAATATTTAAAAAGTCATGTCCTATATTAACAGTATACACTAGCTGTTGATATGTATGAATTGGAGTTATTATATTAAAGATGTCAACTGAATAAAAACCTTTTAATAATTATAAATTCTGCAATTAAAATTTGAACTCCTAATTACTATATTAAATTAACTACACAATGTATGCATTTAATTCTACAAAAATAGTCTTCTTCAAATAAAGTTAATAATAACCTTTGTAAATAGAATATAATCATAAATATAATAACCAAAATATTGCCAAATATCTTACCAAATTTTACATACACTAGCAAGATTATTAGTTTTTCTTTTTTTTTTTTTTTTTTTTTATTAAGGTAAGGTTTTGCCTTTATCTTTATTATAATTTGTATTAAGAATCCATAAGGGGTTTTTTTGACCAAAGGTCAAGTTTACAAATTGTTTACAAAAATGAGACTCAGACTATAGCAAGGTTATTAGTATAAAAAAGATTAAATACAAGATCTTTATTTTTAATAAATATTAATTAAAATTAAAAAAAAAAAACTATTTTTATAAATTAATTTTAGAATCTATAAAACATTTAGAATTAGTAAATGCTGATATATATTTTTCAAAAATCTTAATTGAATTTTAATATGTATACATAGTGATATTTAGACATAATCTTTTATTTTCATGATTTATTAGTTATATAAATAGAATTTATTATGGTTTATTCTAAATAGTGATGCCTGATGAAATATAAAAATCTGACAAAATCCAACAAAACATAAGTTTAATTAATTGACCAATTGATGAAACTATATGGTTTTGTTAGGTTTTATCATTTTATTAGACATCACTAATTCTAAGTCTCAGTTATATTAGGATTTTTATTGGTTTTTATTTTATCTTTTAAACTATTCTTAGTTAGTAAACCTATTAACCTAGTTGAAATTTTGGTAGTGTTGGAATGTAAATTGATGTTCCAATCCCAGTCATGAGTTTTATTATTTTTTTATGTTTTTATTATTTATTTATTTATATTATTATAGTTTTCTTTCATTATTTTAATATATAGTTATTTATTTGTAATTTGTCCTACTTATGCCCTTATTTACATTTAAGAACCATAGTAGCTATGCCCATAAACATAATGTTGAGCAGTTGAGACAAGAGTAAAACATAACATGAGCAGTTGAGACAAGTATAAAACATTAACATAAGCAGTTGGAGCAATGACATATAATCAAATAAGTCATAGATAAGTAATATGAGCAATGTGACTTCATGTTATCTTGGGATGTTTTAATTACAGATGAAATAACTGCTCATGAAGAAACAAACAACTGCTCACAAAAAATAAACTACTCTTAAAAGACTTGCATAATATAATCATATAGAATTTACTTAGTATAATCTTCACAAACAAAAATATATAAATATAGGTTCTTTTTGCCTTTTCAAAAAGACCAGTTACAAGTTACTACAAATAAAATTAATCAATTAAAAACAAATTTCATTATTGCCTTAAAATTCCAAATCCTTAAGGTTCCAAAAATATAAAACCTCACTAATTAAATAATTGATCTCTCAATATGTTTTCTTTATTTATTTATTAAAGTATACACTGTGTCTCTTAATTAACATAAATAAAGTAAGCACTGAGGCTGAATAGACCTTTCACTGAGTAATTAGGAACCATATTATTAACAAGTTATATAGGAAGTAACATCATGTATCGTATCATTGTTTAGATTGTTAAATAGGATCAGTAATTATTTGAACATTACGATTGTTTTATTATTAGTATTGTGATCAATGCTTAGATCACGTTTAAGTTGTTAGTTTTATTATAGTACATTTAATAGTAATGCCACCCTTATAGATACCATCTCATTTAGCAATGCTGTCCAAACCTGATCAAAGGGGTAATGACATTTTTACCTAATTTGGGATTGGTATCAACACTTATCGTAATTTATAACCCAATCCCAAAATTCAACCAATCAACACTATTCAAAACTTTATATTATAATCCTCTTTTCTCTAGTGAAGACTTCCTAATCAGTGAGTGAATACATAAGAGATATAATTTTATCCAAGTATTTTTTATTTTTTTAGTTACTGTATAAAGGCACAGAATCACTACAATAATGGTCAGCTTTCTAGTTTTTGCTTCTTGCCTATATACAAACTTCACATTGAAGTCTTATCATCTTAAAATTATTTAATATGCAATTCATTTAAAAATTCTCTTTTAAAAAATAATTAACAACTATAAATGTATCATAATTATGAAATAAACTTTAATAAAATATATATTGTTTTAAAGTTAGGCCACTCCAATTCAAATCTATGTTTAATATAACCCCCCCTCTTTCTGAGCAAAATAATAGAAGGGAATTAAACAAAACATATATATATAAATCAGGCTCAAATAAACCTACTTCAGGTTCAAGTAACCTATTTTTAGATTTAAAAAACCTATTTTAGAATCAAATAACTTGGGTTCAAGTAAACTATTGAACCTAAAATAAATTATTTGAACCAAGTGATTACTAGTTTAAACTGAATAATAAAGACAAATAATACCATATTTGGAAGTAAAACTCCAGATATATTATTAGATATTGAATTATACCCTGTTATAATATTAAGAAAAATACTGTATATAGTGATCAGAATTGAGCATTGTTGTGTTACAAACTTTAAATTTTCGAACTTCAGTAAAAATTTGACCAATATCTGAATGTTCACGTTTTTTAAATATAAATTAAATTTGTTAAATTAATATCGATTGAAAAGTTTTATTAAATCAATATTTACAAAAATTTGTTTATTTAATCAAAAATTTATTACTATTAAAACATATAGTTAAATTTAACTTTGACTGATGCTTGATAATTGACCGAATTAAAAATTCAATGAATGAAAGCTTATTTCGATGCACGAAATTTTTGACTGATGGTCGAATTATTATTTATCAATTCTACTCTCTAACTGTATAAAAGTAGGTACTATGTTAGAGAGGTACTACTATATAAAAATTGAGTTAATATATTGAAAATCGATTTTTGAGTATTTGGGTCCTTTTATACTGAAATTATTAAAAAAGAAATAGGAGTATATATTATTAAAATACATGTAAGTTTAAGTAATTTAGAAGTTTATTTAAATATATCATTGATGTAATATTACATAATCAAAAAAATAAAAAAGGTTTGATCGATATATGATTGATCTTCCCATTTCATATCTTGAATAAAACTAGTAGATGGAAGAAGTCGAGAGAATAAAATGTAAATAGACAGACAAAGCAAAGTAAGAAGTGAGCAATAAATATTTGTATTTATTTTAATTTGGCTTTAATAAATATTACAAACTTTGTTGAACAACATTTATAAGAACAAAGCAAGCATGCGAATATTTATATATTTCTTCACGTAATAAATGATGTGCGAGATATTTTACGCAAAATATGAAATCTACCAAAAATTTAATTTAAAAATGAAGTTCATCCATTCTTCTCAAAATCGCAAAAAAAAGGTTAATACAAGTAAATTCAGAAAGATATTTGTTAAAAGAAAATTATCTCCATATTCAACTTTTTAGGAATACAAGGAATCTCATGATCATAAAACGTTGTTGTTTGAATACTCTAAATTCACATTGGATAATTTATTAACACATGAAAATTCAATGAATATATCAAGTTTAATCTAATGCCAAACTTTAATTACCTACTAAATTTAGTAAGCAAGCTATTTTATTAAGTACAATATTTTTCTCTCTTAAGAATCATAGTAATGTAAAATTTTATATTTTATAGCCATTTCGTGCATTTTCAAGCAATTCATTTCAAATATAATTGGTTATAACAAGTTTATATAATAATATAATGTATTTTGACTATCGCTATATCAATATGTCTTGACTTTTTAATTTCTGGTCTCTAATAATTATTTCCTGGGAAGTCTAAAATATATGAACACTGGCAAAATTTATTAAATAATAGGTTTTTTTGTCGTATGCATACTTAGAGGAATGAAAACTATTATTCCAGATAAGGTTGTAAATGTGTTGCTTATAAACAATTAATTTGAAGATTGTATTGTTCAAGTATTTTTGAGAAAGCCTCCAGAAAAATGGGTTTATGTAGAAGAAGGACTACAAGGTGATGTATCAATGTTATTTGAACTTAATTTTACCTATATTAAATTTGTTTTGGATGTAGCAGAGACTAGCATTCAAAAATCTTTTCACCAAGGTCCAAATGCATTTGATCTTTTTATGAAAAACTCACAAAATACTCAACTTCCTGAACTAAAAAAAGAGAATACTCATAGAGACTTACTTTATAATGATATTATTTGTTTGCTTCAAAATAAAGAAGTTGGATGGAAAAATGCAATGCACAATACTATCGGAAAAAGTTTTATTGAACATTTAACTGTGGCTTTGTAGTATATAGATCCACATCGTATAAAATTTACAGCATGGTATCTTTCACTTGGAGAATTATTTAATGAATTGGATCAGTATAAGAAGGACCAACATTATAATCTTTTTTATAATACTGGAAAACATGCTAAATCTAATCTTAAACATGATAAACTTGAGCAACTAGCTTCCTTATTAGAACTATCAGCAATACAGCCATGGGCAGCAAATGATAATTGGACATTAATTATTAATGAAGTTTTTATCTTGATATCTTTGATGCGAAAATATGCAAATAACTTGGAGCAAATTAACCAAGCTATGAAAAAAATACACTTAAGTGATACACCAGCACATCAACCAGCTAATGATCTAAAAGTATATATGATTGAGTCTTGTTAAAAGATTAATATACAATACCAACAACTTCAAGATTTTTTATTTAATGTTAATGATTATAGTGAAACTAATCTAGAAAGATTTTTACCTGAAGACATAGTACAACATTATCATTATATTAAGAACCTTCAAATAAAATTTCCAGTTACTTTATATCATTATTATCAAGGTATTATCTTGATACTATTAACTATATTTGGAAGGTTCTATTTAATCCTGAAAACCGATCAGAGACTACTCAAGCACATGTAATGGCATTTATTCAAGGAAGATTACCACAATATTTTAGTCGACAAATGCAAAAAAATGTGTTAAAAAAAGTAAATATTGTATGTTTTGCTTAAAAAATATAGTAATTTTTAATATATTAACTTTTAATCCAAAAAAATAATAATAGTATTCATTAATTCGGAATATTACACCTGCTATTTTACATGTTTTATATTATAATTTAACTGGCGATGTTGCTACAACATCAAATGAGATTAGTAAAGAGTTAGAGAAATGACTTCGTCTTATGTTAGCAATAGAAGATCCATCAATTATATGTGATTTACGTCAGAATAATGGATTTAAAGGAACCAAATTTGATCTATTTTGGAATGAATTAGAAGCTTATTTTAATGAAGTAATTTATTCTTTTTTTTCTTAACTATAAACACTATACCCTATATAAGTGACAACCAGACTTCAATTAATATAAATTTTATATGATTGAAATCTGGCTTCCTTTGGCATTATTCAATATAATAAGTTGTTTATTTAATTTATTTTATTAGAATGCTCTGGCAGTCAATGATCATTAGCATGGAAATGTTCTTTATATGCCTCTTGCCATTTTAATACGTGATCTTCATGAAATAATTAATCAGCGCTTAAATAATAAGTTTATATCTGAAACTATCTTAATTCCAAGTGAAGAATGGATACGTTTACAATTTCAACCAACAAATCCAACTACTGAAAGAGCTAAACAACATACTGGACGTTTTAATATCAAGTTTATGGTTCAGGCAAGACAGCTTCACAAAGATCATCCAGATATGCATTACTGTGTGGTCCTTTTTCGATATTTGAGAGAATTTGCAATTTTATATTGACAACATACTTTATTTATCTGTGCTAATGATAAACATAAAGTACCTATTGGAGAAGACGTTAATACATCTACTCGTGTGCATAATAAAAAATCTATAGTTTTTCAAGAAACTTCTTTGGTTGCATGTGATCACAATTTTACAAAATTATCTCTTACCCCTTCTGTAATATTTTTTTGTAATATTCCTCAATCTATTGAAGATTCTTTTTATAGTGGAGAAGTATTTGTTTCATTTAAAGATATGGTATTTCAACCAAGTAGTGCAATTAGACATGCTACTGAATTTTATCATATAATTTCTTCTAATTATTATAACAATATTCCTTCAATTCTTTGTCTTTATACTGATGGTGGTCCTGATCATTGTATAGTTTTTTTTTCAGTTCAAATTTCTCTTATTTGTTTATTTTTACATAGTAATTTTGATATGCTTATTGCAATGCGCATAGCACCTTATTATAGTTGGACTAATCCTGCTGAAAGGATTATGTCTATTTTAAATTTAGGTTTACAGGGAGTAGCATTAGTTAGAAATACAATGAGTTCAGAATCAGAGACAGAATTTGTAAATTGGATACATTAAATAAAATTTGTACTGCTGCAAATACAAATTCAAATTTGCAGAGTGATTTGCATAAATATATAGAATGCATACAGCATTTATTGGAAGAATGTATTGAAAGATTAGTTTTACATAGTAAACCATTTCAATGCTATACTCCAGTAGACAAAACAGAGATTGATGAATTTTTTGATGTATGTTTTAATTAATAAATTTTAAAAGTAAATTATTTTAACTAATATATTAATTATTATTTATTAGATGATATTGTTAATTGATCAAACTTTAAAGATTTTAGAGATGACAAGTAATATTTTATTGAAGAAAAAAGATTTACAACAATTTATGCAAGCACATTGCAGGTATCGCCAATATGTCTTTCAGGTAAATTGTTACTACAGTCAGGCCTTTCTAAATGCAACACTTTTTTTAAACTTTAACTCAAATATATGCTCAATTTTATACAAGTTGCACTTAGAAAAGCTATATATTTATGTTTATAACTTTTAAGTAATTTTATAATAATAATAATAATATTAAATAATATTCTTTAGATAAAAAAATGTAATCAGTTATCTTGTACTATTTGTCAGCCTGTTCGTCTTCCGGATGATGTTTTTAATTTACTAAATTGGCTACCAGATCCTATTCCTTCTACAAGTATGTTTAAGTATTTGTTTATGCTATATCATATATAATTCTAATAGAATAAATTTTATTAATTACAGTCGATAGAGATCATTATGAAAATTTTCAATTAATTTATCAGTCAACAACAACTGAACAATATCGTCTAACACTTATAACAACTATTACAAATAATGAAAATGCACTTTATTTCTTTTAGTAAATACATGAGTTAGAGAGTTTATTCAATGCTTTTAATGTAGAAAAATGCGTTGTTTATATAGTAAAAGCTCATTATCAGCAGAGAATAAAATAATATGCCAAAATGCGATAAATAATTGGAACTATAGTTGTGGATCACTATTTGTTCCAGAGGACCATATTCTATACAATGAAGTCTTTGTAAAAGAAAAAATTAGTTGTAAAACACCAATAGAATTGGCATATTATTCTTGTCGAAAATTAAATATTAATAATAATATTTGTTATTGGTGTGGATATGATAATGAGTTAGCAGAACCTCAAGAAAGCCTCAAGTCAAAGTACAAATCCTTATTCTCATGCTGTACATTATGTCGAGATATAAGAAAAGAATTTTTTGTACATGGTGAAATTAAAACTCATATGAAAGCTACAAAAAAATGTAAAGTTGATAATTAATACTAGTAGGTAAGATTTAGTTTGATGTGTAGTTATTAGTAGAGTATTATAAATAGTATAAATATAGAGATAGTTGTCTATGCAATAAATTTAGTAATATAAATTGTATGATTTGTGCTAAAACTTTTATTTGCATGTTTCAAATATTTTAGGAGAAAAATACTAAATCACATGAAATATAGTCCTAATTTCATGTTTGTTGCAGAATTCATAATATTTCTATATTTTAGTATCATTTATAATTATTTTATATTACTTCACATTTTCAGAATATTATTATATATGCCTGTGCAGTGTATTAATTTACTAATGATTAAAATTGAAAATATTAATTCAAATAATATAAAAGCATTGAATAATCGTGAAGAAATATCAAAAGATGAACAGATATAAAAAATCACTTGATAATTTAATAAACTATTAGAAATAAAACCAAATATGAAGAATTACTTGCTGATTTAAATAAAACTTTAGAAATTAGTTCAAATAATGCTCTAGTACTGAGTAATCATGAAATGGTATGTCAAAAGATGAAGATATAAAGAATCACTGCTAGCTTAAATAAATCATTAGAACTTGATCTAAATAATACTTCATAATTGAATAATTGTGAATTAACATATCTAAAAATGAGCAGATATAAAGAATTAGTTGCTAATTTAAATAAATATTTAGAAATTTATTCAAATAATAATAAAGCATTTGATAATCATAAATTATTATATTGTTTTATAGACAGATATAAAGAATTACTTACCAATTTAAATTATTAAAAATTAACCCAAATGACATTATAACACTGAATTATTGTGAAAAACTCATATAAATATTTGAGTAAGTATAAAGAATCACTTTTTGATTTAAATAAAGCTTTAGAAATATATTCAAATATAGTATAATATTTAATAGTTTGCAAGATTGTATGCAAAAATGGACAGATATAAAGAAGCACTTGTATAAAATATAAGTATGTAAATCTGAGTTAAAAATATATATATAAAGTAAAAAGAGGTAATTTGATAAAGTTAAAATAACTAATATAAAAACTTTTTTATTTTAATATTAAAAAAGTTCTTATTTTTTGTTTTAAACTTTATATATAATTTATAATTATTTTTATATAAAATTAGTAATATAGCACCTTGGTTTAAAGTGACACTAAATAGAATTATACATCACATCAAAAAGCTTAAGGTAGGGATAATTGACAAATTGATGATATCTCGTGTGATCCAGTGATCAGAATTGAATAATTTTTATACCACTTGATTCATCTCGATAAGACAAATTGAATGGTACAAAGCTCATCCAATTCTGGTCACTGGATCATGAGATATCATCGATTATATGCTAAGCAAAATAAATCCTTAAGAGGAATTTTGATGAAGTGTAAACTTGGCAAATAATTGATGATATCTTGTGATCCAGTGGTCATAATCAGATAAACTTTGTACTATTTGATTCATCTCATCAAGATGGATCAAATGGTGTAAAAATTATTCGATTCCAATTACTAGAATACGAGATATCCAGATTCATCAAATTACCCACTTTGCCAAATTACTCCTTTTTACCTTATATATATGAGTGACGGTTAGAGAAAATCTGTAACTGTTATCACTATAGTGTATAATGCAATAAGGCTGCACCAATTTAATTCTTTGTTTAATGTAAGGCTATGCCAATTTAATTTTTTTTTAACATAGCCCCTTCTATTTTTTAAAATTTTAGATAAAAAATTAACACTAAACTAACCAATCAAATTGCAGTATCAGGTTTGACATTTTTTACATTTTTTCAGCCAATAGAATTTCTGTGTTTTTTTTTGTTGATTATTTTTTTACCCCTCCCCCTCTTGCAAAATATTTTGATGTTATGTTAAACAAAGAATCAACTTGGAGTGGCCTTATCAAGAATAGTATATAAGTGACTACTACGTATATATAATGTTATCAGCTTTTTTTTGTTTTATTATAACAGTAATTAAAGATCTTGTAATGGAACAGAATTTACTTGAAGAGTGTTTTGAAATATCTCAGCATGATAAAGATGGAATTAATGTTGAAAAACGAAAAGCAGAAGCAAGCTTCCAAAATGTAATAGTAAATAAAGGTAGATGTCTCAGATCTGCTATATGGGATGAATTTAATATTAGAGAGTCTGATAGAAAGAGAAATTATGGAGCAAAGTGTTGATACTGTATTAAAGAAAAATGGCAGTGTGAAAGGCCCTCAGTAATGGAATCTCACTTGGCTTTACAGCAAAGGTGAAATTCCTGATCAAATAAGATGTTATTGGTTAATTCATGTTGCAAAATGAAATGATAAAGTAAAAGATACTGATAATAGTGACAATGAAAGTATGTCACCATCTTCTTCAAAAAAACCTAAAGTTTCACAATCAAATTTTAAATCTATTGAACCAGTATCGAGTAAAAAGAGTAATGCAATTAATAAAGCATTACTTAAAGCATTTATTTGTTATGGAATTTCATTTTCCGTAGTTGACAACCTATTTTTTAGAGATCTTTTTAAGTTAATTAAACCAGGATATATTCTTCCTGGAAGGACTACACTAGCAGGATGAATTCTTGATGAAGAATCTGCTCGTGTAGCAATACAAATAGATAATTTACTTGAAAAGGAACAGCATCTAACTTTAGATAAAAATTTTCTTTAATATTCGTGTTAAACTATAGTACTATTATATAATAAAGTTATCAAATAGTTAATTAAAAGAATGTATTTATCTTATCGATAAATTTAACAATTTATTATTAAACATAAATATTTATAAATAGTGCTTGACAGATGGTCAAGCACAATGAATGACTCATTGTATAATTTTATTATATCTACATCTGAAAGAAAAGAATATTTATATTCTCTTTTAGATTTTTCAAATGCAGTACAAACTGGAGAATTTCTTGCCTCTAAGATTTCAGAAATTATAGACAGAGTTGGTTCTAATAAATTCGTGGCTTGCATAACAGATAATAGAAGCAATATTCGTGTTGCTCATGAAGTTACTACATATAACTATTCACATATTTGGAATATTAGATGCATCACATATGTGATAAATCTTATATCAAATGATATAGTAAAAACACAATCTGTTAATCAAGTTCTAAAACAAGCTAGTCAAATTATTCAATTTTTCATAAAATCACATTTAGCATGTCGACTTCTTCGTGAAGGTATAGAAAATATGAATATAAGTGGTAGTGGTTTAGAAACATATACTGAAACAAGATGGGTTTCTATCTTTAAAACTACATCTTTGATTATAAGATTAAAACTGGTTTTTGAAAATGTATGTATTTTTTTATTTAATTATATTTATATATTTATTTAATTTATTTTTTTTAGATCTTAGAAAATAATCGAAATGCAATCAAACCAACTATTATTTCTTTATTAAGTGATCATGATGACATATTTTATAATAATTGTCATCGAATTACATCAATAATGCAACCTATTGTTACAGGGTTGTAGCCTTCTTGGTACAATACAACCAAGTAACAAGGTCACCTGGTACAGTGATTGACTATT